ACAAAACTTCCGCTGAGTGCCTGGGATGCGCCGCCTGCTATTCTGAGTGCTACTGAGGAAGATAAATGAGAAGCAAGGGCAGCTGGAAAATGAGCTCAACAGAATATACCTGGCTCGTCACTGCAGTGCAGATCAGAAAAAAAAAAAAAAAAAATGTCTGTGCAGATAAAACATGGATCCGGAAGGATAAAATGTGCAGAGCCGTCTTTTCTTTTCTGTTTTTTTCGTTCTTCTTCTTTCTAAAGACAGGGCCTCACTCTGTTTCTAAGACTGGTGTTCACTGGTGCATTCTCAGCTCACTGCAGCCTCGGCCTCTCAGGCTGAACCGATCCTCTCGTGTCAGCCTCCCAATTAGCTGGAAATACAGGTGTGTGCCGCCATGCCTGGCTCATTTTGTTTATCTTTTGTAGAGACGAGGTCTCACTGTTGCCCAGGCTGGTCTTGATCCTCCCAATTCAGGCTCCCAAAGTGCTGAGATTACAGGTGGGAGCCCTGTGTCCTGCAAAGCCATCTTCATAATCCGTGTGGAAGATGATGGTTATCCCACATCCTTTAATCACTCTTTGTCAGAACGTGAACTACTCTCTCACTGCCGATTAGAAATATACAAGGGAATGAAAGGAAAAAGTTAATATTGTCCTGGCATAGTGGCTCAGCCCATAATCCCGGCACTTGGGAGGCCAAGGAGGTCAGATCACCTGATGTCAGGAGTTCATACCAGCCTGGCCAACATAGTGAAACTCCATCTCTACAAAAATACAAAAATTAGGTTGGCATGGTGGCGGGTGCCCGTAATCCCAGCTATTCGGGAGGCTGAGGCAGGAGAATCACTTGAACCAGGAAGTCAGAGGTTGCAGTGAGCCGAGATTGTGCCATTACACTCCAGCCTGGGCAACAGAGTGAGACTCTATCACAAAACAAAACAAAAAAAGTTAATATTTATTAACTGCACCGGAATTTAAAACAGTAAGAATTCAAGCACTTTATTTCCTTGGGAAAACTCACCAAGAGCTGTTTAAACAATTATTGCCTTTCCCACAGCACAGCACAGAGGAGGCGGCCGGCATCTTCCAGGCCTTGGGGCACTGACCTGCTTCTTTCTGAATGGGGATCCGCTCCCTACACACTCCCCTTTGTGCTCCTCAGGTCATGAATATCTCTGAGGCCCATGAGTGTGAGGTCTCTGACTGGTGGCATTCCTACCTGTTTCTCGGGACTTTCTTTTTTGGTGGGTCTCTGGGCACAAGGGATGTGAGCCTGGGGAGAACAGGCTGGACTCTGCATCAGGACACAGAGGCCCTGGAGGGGCAGACACTGGAGCAAGCAGGGGTGAATTTACCTGGTTTTTACTCAAAGGAGGCCCCTCACCACTGTCTTCCCTGGCACAGTGACTCCAATAAAAAGAAAAAAGGTGTTCACTCAGCACATTCCCTGGAACAGCAAGCAGAAAATATCCCTCTTGGTATTCGTATAAGTATTAGGACTAGTGTTAGTGCTCGTACTTGTATTAGTATTAGTAAGAGTGTTAGTATTAGTGTTAGCATTAGTATTGTTTATCTGAAAACAGAGAGAGAAAAGCTGGTTTCTCTCTCCTTTGGATATCATAACTCAAGGCGCCCTGGGGATCTCGAGTGCATGGAGCAGGGAGTCTGAAGGAGTTTGTCCTTTGGGTATGAACCCATGGGAAGTAGGTGTGTATTCTGTGGCCAAACTCACTGGCCTCTTTGCTTAGTGGAGACAGAAGGGCCCAGGACCCATCCCTGAGCCTTTGCTTCCTGGGACCCCTCTCTATCTTTCCATGTGCATGCCTGAGGGGGTTCCTGGTCCTCACCCATCCACATTGGCTCTTCTTGAGATGATGCACCCACTGTACACCTGCAGGTGACCTTGTGTAGAAAGAATTCCAAAAACCCACATGGGTCCACATAGAGTGAGGCTGCCTCCAGACAGGCACAGGGTCCCCGAGCCTCTTAGCCACTGCTAGAGCCTGAGACTGGGGCACTCACATGGAGACAAATCCATGGGGCTTTAGAAGAGGCTGGGTTGGTGGGAGCAGAGGAGGGCACGGATGGAAAGCAGGGGTCCCTGGAAGCTTCAGGGCCAGAGGCACTTGGGAGGGGAGAAGGCATCTCATGGAGAGAAAGGTCAGAGCTCCTTCCATGCCCTGAGGTCACAGCGGGTTTCCCTCTCTCCCAGCTCTCCCTGGGCTCTTGTGTCAGGGAGTCAGGGCTGGCTCAGCTGGGGATCTTTGGTGAGTGGGAAGGACATAGGGCACTCGGGGTCTTAAGTTCAACTTTTAACATGATCCTCAAATGAGAGGTTTCACCCAGTGGCCTCCTGTCCACAGACCCCATGTCTTCTTGCTGGACTCCTGGGGGAGCTGCCCAGCCAGGGACATGAGATGTTTCACTTTTGTCTGCCAAATGCAAAGCCGTCTTGATCTACGTGAGGCCAGCTCCGTACTAGAGGGTTGTGGTCCGCAGGACTGGTAGCCCAGCCCACCAGCTTCAGGCCCTCCCTGGTTAGACAGTGGAGCCTGACCAGGGACCCTCGCTTTCCCGCCTAGGAGTTTGTCTCTCTCCCACCACCACCCATGGCACCCAGGTCGCACACACCGAGGAGCATCCAAAGGCCAGGGCTGATCTGTCCTTGGCCCCCTCCCATGCTGGTCAGTGCCCAAAGTCCAGAGGGTTCAAGACAGCAGGAGGACAGGGACTCAGCCCGGCCCCGAGCATGCGCACACCCACCTAGGCTGCAATAGCATCCGGGCTCCACCCCAATCCCTCTCCAGAATTAGAGCAGGTGCCATGAGAGACCAGGCAGTGGCAGCAGGCACCTCCAGCCGCAGGGGAAGGGGAAAACTCCTGGGCCCTCCAGAGCACCGGGGGACGTCAGTTGGTAATTGCAACCTGGGCAGCTTCTATTGCACCTTTGGATCTACTGCCCTACCAACTCAGGAGGACCAGGATTCCCTCTTGTCCCAGGCTCCCATCAGCTCCAAAGTATATGCAGCCTCAGCTGTGCCCTCTCTCTGTATTTCCCCACAGAGGGGACAGGCGAGATGAAGGTTCACAGCAGCTCTGGCCAACGCCACACAAACAAACCCAATGCTCCTGGGTCTGGTTTAACGAGCCCCAACTGCGCTCTTTTCAAGAAGATTGCAGGCTAACAGCACGCAGTGAGGAGTGAGGTCGAGGCTTGGTAGAGGCTTCAGACCTGGGAGCAGGTCCCGTTTAGCCATGAGAGGGTATGGGTGACACAATTTGCTGCCTCAGTGACATGGGGCACAGGCCTGGCCCACAACCCTGCCAAGGGGGGTGTCTGTAACAGTGGATCATGGTTCACAGGCCCAGCAATCGGGAGCGTCAGGCTATGTGGTCACCCCTGTGGTGGGCGGATCTTGGAAACACAGCCTCAGGAGGATTTCCACAGAACCTCCCTTTGAGGCTCAGGAACTTGACACTGTTAGCAGGGCGGGCACAGTGACCACATAGCTGGCCAGGTCATTGAGCCAGGTGCCATTTCTGCTTCCCAACCAAGCCCCTGGAGCATGGCCCCAGCTCTGCTTTCTGAACCTGGCAACCACACTTCATATGCAAGCATGGCACCACCCCAAGCCCATCTTCTTGGGGCTGCTCTCTGCCCAACCTTTTGTGCCCGACTGAGTTGCTCCCCAAATGTGAAAAAGTAAGGGAAAAAAAACAGATGGCTTAAGAGAAAAATGGGTGAAGACCATTGGCACACCTGTAATCCCAGCACTTTGGGAGGCCAAGGTTGGCGGATCACTCAAAGCCAGAAACTTGAGACCAGCCTGGTCAACACGACAAAACCCTGTCTCTACTAAAAATACAGAGGCCAAGGCGGGTGGATCACAAGGTCAGGAGATCGAGACCATCCTGGCTAACACAGTGAAACCCCGTCTCTACTAAAAATGCGAAAAATTAGCCGGGCGTGGTGGCGGGCACCTGTAATCCCTGCTACTCGGGAGGCCGAGGCAGGAGAATGGTGTGAACCCAGGAGGCGGAGCTTGCAGTGAGCCTAGATGGCGCCACTGCACTCCAGCCTGGGCAACAGAGCAAGACTCCATCTCAAAAAAAAAAAAAAAAAAAATTAGCCAGGCTTGGTGGCATGTGCCTGTAGTCCCAGCTCCTTGAGTGGTTGAGGCATGAGAATCACTTGAGCCCTAAAGGAAAGGATTGCAGTGAGCCCAGATTGCACCATTGCACACCAGCTGGGGGGACAAAGTGAGACTTTTCTCTCCAAAAATAAAAGAAAAAGAAAAGAACAAGAATTGGTGAGAATTTATCAAAATGATCTAATTTTATATGGTTGTTTTGATGTTCTCAAGCTGAACCTCAATGATAGACAAATTAGTACTGCATTATTTTTCCATCAGTAACTCAATAACTAGAGATTTCTGATGTAAAAATCGCTAAAGCAAGTCAATCAAATACAGAGGACACCAGAAAGTGTTCACTGAGGTTCTCTTTATTTCTGATATTTCTTTGTAACCATCTTTGCAGGGATAACATTCTCATGACTATAGAACTTTAGGTTCTGTCTCTGACTCTGCAGGACACGGGTCCCTGAAGGTCTCACTGACTCCACCTCAACGTTTTCCTCCAGTCTTGCCCCCTGCTGTTATGTTTTTTCCATTGTACTGAGCACTTGCCTGAAGCAAAGAGTTCAGTGCTTCCTTTAAGCTGTACACGTGGCCTGGGCTAAGTCGCTCATGCCTGCAATTCCAATACTTTAAGAGACCGAGGTAGGAGAATCCCATGTGCCCAGCAGTTTGAGACCAGCTGGGGCAACATAGTGAAACCCTGTCTCAAATTTTTTTAATAAAAATTTTAGAATTATTAAAAAGGAAATAAGAAATAAGAAAAATAACTTGCACGTACATACTAGATTTTAGTGTCTAGGTCCCTGGAAGAGAACTTTGGATGTATCTACCCCGCTAGGCATGCCTTCCCTGGCAGCAAAGATGGAGCTCCAGTTCCTCAGACGGTGGGTGATGAGCCGCAGGAAGGGCAGGGGGTGGGACCAATGAAGATCTTCCTGGGCTGCCTGACTTCCCTCAGTGTGCGCATCAGCTCAGCCCAAAGTGGGGTGAAGATCTTCCAACTGACACGAACCAAGGAATTCAAACTCTCCCAAGGGGCGGGATACGTCTCCAGGCTTAACTTGCTCAGCCCGCTGGTGTGGCGCAGCAGGTCCTTCAGGGCATCCACAGACATGAAATTTCGACCCAAGTAGAAGGTGGTGAGCTGGGAGCAGCGGCTCAGGCCGGGCAGGATGGCACTGAGTTGGGAGTAGTGGATCTGACAGCCCTCCAAGATGAGGGTCTCGAGAGTGGCAGCAACTTTCTCTAGCAGAGCTCCGAGGGGCTCAAGACTGAGGCGCAACAGCGGCACGTAACTGAGATTCAGATGCTTCAGGTCACCGAGGCTTGGGTACTGGGAGAGACACTTCACGTCCTCTTCCAATAGGTAGCCACAAGTCAATTCCAAGTTCTCCAAGGGGTTCTGGAGGCACCTGTGGAGATCAAGAAGTTAGTTCTGGGCAATGGCACCAGTTAGATGAAGGTGGAGGGGAATAACCTCAAGGGAAATGTCTGCTTCACCCAAACACAAGTTTATTCCCATCATGTGATGATGGTCCGCATGCAAGTTGCTGCGTGATGAGGACTCTGATCATTCAGGACAGTCCCATTTTAGCCTCGGCCCTTTCGCCATTGCTTGTGTGATTGATTCAAGGCTGCAAAATCTCTAAAGCCTCTTTTCTTCACTTTTTAGCAGAAAACTTCATCTCTGGGCCACAGGTACCAGGTTGGAGGTGTGCACAAAGAACTCCACTCAGCAAGGTCTAGGGACATCAGCTAGGGCTACGTGCCGGCAGGGGCTCCCTGACATGCCTGCATCTGCAAACCACCTATCACTTTTTACCACTCTCACGCCTACTCCCTCACCCTCCGTCCTGTAAGCACTCATTTCCCATGTCAATTACCTTTCCTGGAGTTCAAAACAACCTTTTACAGACAGGGAATTAGAGACAGAATCATTCGTGATCACTAAGCTGGTGAGGACAGAGCTTCTACTGTGACATGCACAAGTTTGATGCACTTTTCCTTCTTTCATAGCCTCCTCTATTACCTCTTTTATATCATATCAACTTGAAACACACCTTGAAAAAAGAAATTCACATGCGCACCCTCAGTAGAGCTGAAACCCCCACTAACTAGCTTGTACAAGATGTCCTTCTCTAGCCTCTACCCCAAGTGCCCCCGCTGCCCACATTGGAGCGATCCTGTGATAGCCGCTCCAGGACATGGAGCCCAGAATGGGGCAATGTGTTGACATTCTGGTGTCCCCTTCACTGTGACGTTGCCACTGACTGGCACACAGTACATGCCTTCCAGTGTTTGCTGTAACAAAACAAGGCTGTGCTGTGGTCTGCAGAGAAAGTGCGCAATCCTTTCTCACCTGATCAGCTGTTCCAGGTGCCCACTGAAGAAGGTGACCAATTTTATTTTAAGCAACTGGAGATGTTCCAGCCTGAGGAACACAGAGCTGAATTTGGCGACTAACCGTCCCTCGAGGTCATTGTCTGACATGTAACGATGGCACCTGGAGAAAACGAGTTTGCGAAGATTCTTCATCTCCTTCAGATAACAACGAAGCTTTCTTATCAGATGCGGCCAAGACATGTTGCGGATTTCCAGCTCCTGAATACTATTCAGGTGGATTAATATCAATGGTTTTCTGAGATATTTAATCGGCGTTAGATAATTCACCAACTTGCTACAGCACAGGTGTACTAAACCTCTCCTTTGATAAACCCACTGAAAGAGGTATCTCAGGCATTCATCCTGGGGTATTTAAATGTTTTTCAATAAGAGCAATTCTTATTCATTGATCTTTAAAATTCATTTTGAATGTGTCATTTCATTTGAGACTCAAAACCACATTAAGCATTTTTAAAATATTGCACTACATACTTTAAAGCACTAAATTCCTGTTATATGTTAACATTTCAGTTTGAATCTTAAATGTGTTGTATGTAAATCACAAATACATATTTATTCTCTATAAACATTTACATAACAGCCGATTTTTGGAGATACCACTCAATATCATCCTTTTTGCATCAATAAATTACAACAGATGGTCTCACCTACCAGCAGATGGCACATGAGTCTCATGGGTTGGAAATTTTCTCTCAGGATCACTAGTGATGAACTCAGGCCTTCCCCGCCCACCCCACCCTCTGCTGGCTGCTGAGGCTCTGCTGTTTGGGGGAATCACGATTAAGTAGTGGTGGTGTGTAGCAGCTGAGTCCTGTTGCCTGCCCTGGGATCCTACTGCCTCCCTGTTATCAGGAATGGAAGATGACATCGAAGGGTGAAGAATGCTGGGACTTCTATTAGGAGAGGGAAAACGAGAACAAGATGCACATATTGAGCTCTTACTGTATGCTAGGCCCCATTCCAACTCCTGACCATGCACCATCTCACTGGGTCGTACAACGGTCTCATAGGATAGCGGGCATCATCATCCTTATTTTACAGGGAAACTGAGCTTCTTGCCTATTTCATGCCCAACAGCACCAGCCCCTGAGTCCTCAGCAGGGTTCTACACTTAGGTGCGTGTTGTGTAGGGTCCTTCAGCACAGGTGTGGTCACTAATTACCCCCAGGCACTTGATCGTTATCCACGCTCTGAGGATGTATGATTCCAAATACAATGCACTAGTCTTCCTTGACAGGGAGAAAGGTGAGGTGTTAAGAAAAGGTCTTTCATCGATGTTGTAGGTATTATATGCCTACATAATGCAAGCATTTTGCTAAAAGGGAATTTGGATGTCTTTATTGGCCACAACTGCTTTAATTCAGCAAGGGCCACTACCCACCGTGAGGACAGGCATGGGTTGGTGATGCCCTGAGGCTGCTGCTCACACAGTGTGGAGCTCCCCTTCCAGGGCAGGGGCCATGCCTTGGGCAGTGAAGTCCTTTCCCAGCACAGGTAACGGTCAGGAACTGAGGGTTCTGGATCCACCCATTTGGAGTTAACAGGGTCTCGGCATCTGGACAGAAGTGAGGGCCCCTGAGAAGAAGCGGCTGAACTTCAGTAGCTGACACTCACTTTCCACTTAGAATGCTCCAGGCCCTGTGTGTGTCTCTCATGTGCATTAACCCACTAAGTAGTCACAGAGAATAGCAAGAAGGTAACAGATGCCCAGAGAGAAGTAAAGAAAAGGAGGGAATTGATCCAAATGATCTAATTCCATTTTGATGGCTTGATTTCTGGGAGCTGAAACTCTTTTGTCACAGACAAATCAGTGCCTCCTTTCCTCCATCAGTAACTTGAGACTTCTTAGGTTTACATTGTTAAGCCAGGTGAAGTAATCATGGAGGACACCAGATAGTTTCCATTTAGTTTCCCTTTATTTCTGACTGATTCTTTACAACCATCCATGCAGAGGTACCTCTCTCATGTGTCTCTCCTACCTGATTTTCACTCTAGCAGTTCAGATTCCCATTTCTGTTTCTCTGGGACACAGATCTCTAAAGATTCCATCAACTCCAGCTCAACTTTTCCCCCAGTCCCACCACTTCTGCATCCATGGTGCATCTGTACTCCCTTTAACATACACTCATGGCCTAGGATTCAGTTCCCAAATAACCAGAAGAAAGCTCTAAATACATCCACTCTGATGGACAGGCATTCAGCAGAGGCAGTGACTGGGCTCCAGGTCATAGGAGGCCCTGATGCCACAGCGAGGGCAGGGGACAGTGCTGAACACAACAGTCTTGGGCTGCCTTAAGTCCCTCAGTGTCTTCATCAGCTCAGCCCCAAATTGAGCAAATCTCCCCCAGCAGAGAGCACCCTGGGCATCATAACTCTCCAGAGGGGCAGGGTACAGCTCCAGGCTCAGCTTGCTCAGCCCGACGGTGTGGCGCAGCAGGTTCTCCAGGGCGGCCACAGAGATGAGGTTCCCACAGAAGCTCAAGGTGCTGAGCTGGGAGCAGCGGCTCAGGGCAGGCAGGATGACGCTGAGTTGGGAGTCCGTGATCCCACAGTCCTCTAAGTCCAGGGTCTGCAGGGTGGCCTCAACTTGCTCTAGCAGAACGGCGAGGGGCTCAGGGCTGAAATGGGTCAGTGTGATGCCCCTCAGGTCCAGCTCCTTTAGCTGACGGATGCTCGGGCACCAAGAGAGATGCTTCAAGTCCGACTCTGACAGCAGGCAGTCGGTCATGACGACCGTCTCCAAGGGGGCCTGGAGACACCTGGGAGAGAACAAGGAGGAGATAGAGGAGAGTGGTGGGAAGACCTCAGGGTGAGAGATGACAGTCTCCACAACCCAAGGCTGCTCTGCTCATCTGAGGATAGTCAGCACCCGGGGTGTGGGAACGGAGACTCTGCTCCTTCAGGACAGTCCCAATTGAGGCTCAGTCCTTCACCATCACTCAGGTGACTGGGTCAAGCCCATGAACTCTAAGGCTCCCTTTCTTCATCTGTCAGGCAGAAAACCACATCTCTGGGCCACAGGAGCACCACGGAGACACAGACATAAAGAACAACCCAGGCGGGATCCTACAACATCAGCTGGGGTGGCCAGGCTGCAGGAGTCCCTGACACGCCTGTATCAGCAGCAAACCGTCTATCCTTTCTCCCTTCTTCACTCCTGCTCCCTCACCCTCTATTCCATCATCATGTATTTCCCGTACATTAGTTACCTGACTTGGAGCTCAAAGCATTTTACTGACAGAGGGAGAGACAGGATTTTGCCTGTTCACTAGGCAGGTGAGGACAGACCTTCTATTTTAAAACAGAGGGGTGTGATGGGCTTTCTCTTCTTTAGTGCCCTCTTCACCTCCCTATTTCCCATCATCTTAACTTAGACACACATCCTCGGGAGGAATTCACAAATGCACTCTCACTAGATCTGAACCCGCAGTTGCTAGCATCCTAGCGTGGCAGCCTCTCTATAGCATCTAGCCCAGGAGATCCCGCTGGCTTATTGGCATGGTTGTGTGACACCCATTTTAGGACAGAGCTGCCAACAGGACAATGTGTGGACATTCTAGTGTCCCCTTCACTGTGACCTCGTCACAAGCTGGCTCACAGTAGATACCCCCTGGTGTTTACTGTAACAGAGAAAGGCTCTGCTGTGGTCTGCACAGAAAACTCACCATCCTTCCTCACCTGAGCAGCTGGTCCAGGTGGCCTTCGAGGAAAGAGACAGAGTGCATGTAAAGCTTCTGGAAGTAGTCCAGCTTGAGGAACTGAGAGGTGAACTGGGTGATAAACTGCTCCTTCTTGTCTGGGGGAATGCAGGCAGACACATGGATGTTGAAGAGAACAAGTTTGCGGAGATTCCTCATCTGGCCCAGGTAAGGGGCGAACCTTATAAGAATGGACAGCTCCCAGGGGCAGCACACTTCCACCTCCCGGATACAGTCTAGTTCCACCATGTTCAGGACCTCTATGATACTGTGGATGGGCATTCCAAAAATCTGCAGCTCCTTGCAACACACATGCAGTAAGCCTTTTCTCTGTTTGCCCCACTCTAAGAAGCGGGTGAGGCATTCATCCAGCCTCCCATTCTTGAAGCAAAGGTCTAGGGTCACCATCAAGGGCTGCTGCCCACCCAGCCTTGGACAGTTCTCTGCTGTTTGTCTCTTACTCAGGGCCTCTGGGGAGGGTGCAGAAGCTCCAGACCATATGCCCCAGAAGTTCTCATCCACATCCCGCAAGTCCAGCACTTGAAGTTTCCACCGCCTGTGGGTAAAAGAGAAGAGAGGCTCCAAATTTACTCAAAGATTTGAGCTTTTATCCACATCCCAGACATCAGTGACTCCCCTCCCTGCTGCTTCTCCCACTCGCTGTCTTTTCTCCATCCCTCTTTCTCCTTGAAACCTGCCTGGTCCCCACTGCTAGTGTCTTCAATTGCCACTGGGAGGAAGCAGGTTTCTGATCCTTCAGTGGGCCCTGCATGGTGAGCAGTCCTTTCCCAGAGGAGCTGGACAATGGCCAAGGCCTCTCTGAGCTACCCTCCCAGCCACACCAGAAGACTCTGGGCCACCCTTGGGCCTCCCACTCCTTCTGACCCAGCCAACCCTACCCTGGATGTCTGGG